AAGAGCCATCAAACAAGCCCCTCCAATACCTTACGGTTGCTCGAACGCCACACTGGGCCCAGCCAATTCCCGCATCCCTTCCCACAGCACGCGGCACGCCCTGATTCGAAACCAGCGCAACATACGCCCATTCACTTGAACGGCACGGCGGTTCCGACATCCCGGGCTCAAGAGGAAAGGGTTCTGGCCGCGTAAGTGCATATGTGTACGCGCACGTACATGCAAGCACACACACACGTATTCACATACACGCAGGTAAACGATATGTAAAGTATAGGTACGTGCACACGTACGCATACACAAGTATACTTATATATAAATATATGTATACAGATACGTATGCATACGCATATAAGTTTGTATATACAACTGTGAACCCTACATGTGTAGGCATATACATATAAGTGCACACGAACATAACAATATCTATATATATGTATATATATACACACCTGCATGCACATATGCTTACATGCACATATACATATGTGCATATGTGTGTGTCCCTAGAAAAATGCAATACACAATCATACACATCTGCGAAGACATGCGCACATGTACATGTACCAGTACATGTACGTGACTCCATACTGATACACAAAAACCTGGGCATGCACCTACGCGCTTAACTATGCATAGACACCTACACATCACCTAAATACAGATACATCGACCCATGTTTCGACATCCACAAATATGTGTGTATACATATATATACATCGGTCGCCCTGTTTGTCGTGTGAACCCCATCATCTGGTAAAAAGGCCCCACTTCAAACGTGGCACATCCTCGCATATGTATGTCTGCGTCTGCGCATGCAGCCGATCAATGCAAAACGTGCATGTGCATTCATTTCAACCCCCCGTAAGCTCAGTAAAGGCAAGCGCGAGCGACTCAGGCGCCCACAACCACCAATAACTGCCGACGCCTAGTCAAATCACCTGCGCGCGGCCCAAACCTCCGCCTGCAAAGGCTGCTTTCCATCGGGTCGGTGCCAACCCCTTGGCTTGCAACGTAGTTGGTTACATCGGTTTGGATTGCAACCGCCCAAGTATCCTTGTTGTGAACGGGTTCAACGCGAATCCTTCCCTGGAGGGCTTCTATAGAATCCGCCTGCTGGGGATTCAATAGGAAGACTTCCGTGGAGGATTTCAATCGGATCTTTCTGTGGAAGGCTTCAATAGGAACCCTTACGTGGAGGATGTCCTCCTTCCTTCTCCTCCTCATCCGCCTCATTCTTCCTCACCCTCCTCATCCGCCTACGTGTTCTTCTTGTGAAAGGTTTCACCAGGAACCCTGGTGCGGAGGATCTCAGTAGGAATCCCTATGTGGCGGCGTTCAGTAAGAACCTTCTCTTCGTCCGCCGCGTATTCCTCCTCCTCCTCCTCCTCCTCCTCCTTCTCCTCCTCCCCCTCCTCCTCCTCCTCCCCCTCATCCGCCTCACTCTGCTTTTTGTCAAGGGTTTCAGTAGGAATCCTTTGAGAAGCGGGCAGGGTGAAGGACGTAGAGAAGGAGCAGGAGGAGGAAAGGGAGGAGGAGGAGGAGGACGAGGGATGAGGAACGTGACGAAGGCGAGGCGCAACACATTACTCACAAATCTGCTTGTGGAGCTGCGTTAACAACTAGATTTGTGAGTAACGCCTGGAAGCGGAGAGGAGCGGGCAGGATGAACAGGAGAAGGAAAAGGAGGAGGAGGAGGAGACGGGTGAGGAGGAGGAGGAGGAGGAGGAGGAGTAGGAGGAGGAGCGTGAGGAGGAAGAAGAGGAGGGTGAGGAGCATGACGAAAATGAGGAGAAACCTACTCACAAAACTCGTTGTGGTTCCCAATTAGTTTTGTCCTGTGATGTCTCGTAGCGGGGGGGTGCTCGTAAAACTAGTGGTGGAGCTGCGTTCACAACTATATTTGCGAGTAGGGCCTCGATGTGGAGAGGAGCGGGCAGAATGAACAGGAGCAGGAGCAGCCGGATGAGGAGGGTGAGGAGGAAGAAAAGGAGAGTGAGGAGCATGACGAAGGCGAGGGTGAACACATTATTTACAAAACTAGTTGTGGAGCGGCGTTCACACTTAGTTTTGTGAGCAATATCTTGTAGTCGGGCGTTACTCGTAAAACTAGTTGTGGAACTGCGTTCACAACTAGATTTGTGAGGAGCAGGCATAATGAAGAAGAAGAGGAGCAAGAGGAGGAGGGTGAGGAGTAAGCTGAGGAGAGTGAGGAGCATGACGAAGGCGAGGAGGAACACAGGATTCACAAAGTTAGTTGTGGAACTGCGTTCACAATTAGTTTTGTCTGTGATGTCCCGTAGGGGGAGGTTACTCGCCAAACTAGTTGTGGAGCTGCGTTCACATCTAGATTTGTGAATAACGCCTCGATGCGGAGAGGAGCGGGCAGAATGAAGAAGAGGAGGAGCAGGAGGAGGGGGAGGAGGGGGAGGAAGAAGAGGGTGAGGAGCATGACAAAGGTGAAGAGGAACACATTACTCACAAAACTAGTTGTGGGACCGCGTTCACAACTAGTTGTGTGAGTAATGTCTCGTAGCGGGAGGTTACTCGTAAAACTAGTTGTGGAGCTGAGTTCACAACTAGATTTGCGAGTAGGGCCTCGAAGCGGAGAGGAGGGAGCAGAATGAATAGGAGCAGGAACAAGAGGGTGAGGAGGAGCAGGAAGAGGGTGAGGAGCTGTGGAAGATCTCAATTAAAATCTCCTTGCGTCGAGGATTTCGATAGGAATCCTCCTGTGGAGGAGGATTTCAATAGGAATCCTTCTGTGGAGGATTTCATAATGAATCCTTCTGCGGAGAGTTTCGCTCAGAATCCTTCTGTGTTGGCAGAACGACAGCGGAAATTCTGCAGAAAACAAAAAATGATTGCGGGAAAACTTTTGGAAGAGGGGCCAGCAGGGCTGCCCCGAAATCATGTTGTTTTGTTGTTTGTTCTGATTGGTTTGGTTTTTCTGTTGCTTCACATGTTTTCGCTGTGGTTTCGCAATGTCGTCGGTTTTTCGCAGGCGTCCGTGCGCTGTCGGAAACGAAGAGCAGGAGGAAGAGGAGTGGAGAAGAGAAATATCAATACCAGAGACTTCTTGCACGACAAGGGAAAGCAGGGGTACAGATATGCCTGTGCACCCGTATGTGTGTATATATACAAATACATATCCATATTCACATATACCTATTTATATTCATATACAAATACATATACACATACATCTAAGTATACGCTTATATCTATATGTGTATATATATATGTATACCTGTACATCTGCTTAGACGGAACATATACATATATATATATATACACACAGATACAGCCACACACGCATGAACAAAAGTCATGCGTATGTATATACACGCGCAAATCCGGATGCATGGACGCATACACATACGTGACCATAGACATACCTATATAAACACACCAGTGCAGAAACACAAAACATGGATCAAAACATAGGAGAGAGCGTGATCCACCGCCGCTTTACTGTGGAAAATTCCCCCCCTCTTCCTCCGTAGCCCGGGGTTTCCCCCCCTCCGAAAATCCCCCCGCCCTGCTGGAGCCCCCCGCGCCCCCTCCCCCGCTTCCCCCGGGCAAAACGCCCTCCCCCCCTATACCCCCACCCCCACCCCCCTCCGGAAAACCGGGGGGGGTCACTACCGGCTCGAACCCCCCCCCCTTCCGGAAAACCGAAGGGGGTCACCACCGGTTCGAACCCCTTCCCCTCCTCCGGAAAACCGGCGGGGGTCACTACCAATTCGAACCCCCCCTCTCCCTCCGGAACACTGGGGGGGGTCACTACCGGTTCGAACCCGCCCCCCCCCCTCGAAAACTGGGGGGGTGTCACTACCGGTTCGAACTCCCCCCCCCCA